AGTAGTAGTAGTAGTGTAGTCGTAGCAGCAGCAGCAGCAGCAGCAGCAGCAGCAGCAGCCGCAGCAGCAGCAGCAGTAGTAGTAGTAGTAGTAGTAGTAGTAGTAGTAGTAGTAGTAGTAGTAGTGTAGTCGTAGTAGCACTAGCACTAGCACTAGCAGCAGCAGTAGCAGTAGTAGTAGTAGTAGTAGTAGTAGTAGTAGTAGTCGTAGTAGTAGTGGTCGTAGTGGTCGTAGTAACAAGAGACGAGCCGGACGAACCGCAATCAGTTTTTCGAGTTTCGTCTGGATAAGATGAACGGCGGTGGATGGGACTGGCATGCATGTGACCGTTGTTGTTTTTGGTTCTTACTAGGAGGGCGATTAGCGAAAACTCGGTCGCTTAAAAAGCGCACACCCTTTCGATCGAACGCAAGGGCGAGCGCAAGCTATGCTCAATGCTTGTTGTTAAGATTGATTGAGGAGTGATACTGAGCAGTGTTGAGGTAGATTAGCCTTGAAGCCCCAGTGTTTTACCCGCAGCCGAAGCTTAGACTCGAAGCCACCAAGGATCAACAAGCCACAGTCTTCAAAAAAACTCGCGCGCGCAAGCACGCCCAAGGAACGCGCAAGGGCGAAGCGCAAGGGATCCTAATTGGCATGCGTGGAACAAGGATATAGAACAACCCTCATGTGAGACCTGCTAAACTCGCGCATGTGCATACGAAAAACCGCACCATGGGAGCAGAGAGGTATTCTCATGTACACTTGGATTGGAGAATCATGCGCGCAGTGAGGATTTATGCATGTATGTGGGAGTTTTGGGAACATGAGAGACGTCAATCTGGACCCTATGAGGTAAGGCGTGTTTTCAACGGCCCCCATCCTATGCATGACTGCATTCCTTGAAACCGGCACCTTCAACCCCCAGACGAAGGATCTAGAGTGGCGCTTTAACGAGATGGTGCTCAGAAACTTTCTCTACGGCGCTGCTTTGGGCATAGCCTTCTGGTTTACCCTGAAGTTCATTCTGTCTGTTAGAAGGCCCTAATTCCAGCAAGCTGGCGGGAAAAAGTGGTGGTTTGCGTACAGCGACATCGATCTCTCCACGCTGAGAAGCTGTGAAAACCAGTTGAGACGTCCGCCCATGATGCGCGACACTGCATGGCTCGAAGCTCGCAGCTCACACATGATATGGGCTCGGAGGTGCCTGCTTGAAGTTCCTTGAGATAGGCCCAGCCATTCACGCCTAGCAAAGTTAGATGAGGGTTTGTCTGGACACTGGTTTCACTATTCAGGGCTGTGGAGGGCCGGCAGCCACTGGTGCTGCTTGAGACTGACTCAAGCATGCCTTCAGCACATGGTTTCTCCCTGAGCGACTTCCAGTCGGACTTCCTGGGGCCTTATGCAACTTGAAATCAAACTATGTACATGCCGCCGGTCAGGTTTACGGATTTTACGGCAGTCGATGCTTACCAGTTTTCCGCTGGGTGATGTTCGTACATGGTAGTGCAGAAGTGCACGTGTCGTGTGCTGCAAGTGGCAGGGTCTGCATCTCTTTGATCGCTTGTAAGTATTTCTCAGTTTGGGGGTACTACTCCTCAGGTCAAGACTTGCCAGCGCTCGCCTTTGAACAGCTTCTTTGGTGAGACCGTGCCATCAGACCTAACCACCTTCAAGGTGGTCCGACGGGAATTTAGTCGAGGTACCAGTTATGACCGTGTGCACACGGGCTTATCCGGAGACCACTGCATCACCAGTGTATATGAGGTGCCCTGATTTAGAGGTTAAACAGAGTTGGGCCTTTGCCAGGCGGTCTGGGAGCCCATGCGACGAACTCCAACATCCTTTGATGTTCAGGGATTCTTGACATCACCGAAGGGCATGGCGTGCTCAGCCAAGCTCGCCGCGTCCATAACCAAGGAAAATACTTCAGGACGTCCGCTCATGTTTGGGCCGATACTGGGCCGATTGCGTACTAGACATGTTCAGCTTGCAGTCTAACTGACCTTGTTGCGGCAAGCCTGATGCAGGAGATAATAATGAGAAGATTCTTGCCGCAGTGGAAAAAATCGCCACGGACGTTGGCCCGGACTGTGCGCTAGCCCTGCAACAGATGGAGGGAACTCCCGCCGAAGCCGTGGCAAAGATTCAAGCAGGATTGGCGCAATCCCTTCCGAAAATGTGATGCCAGCTGCTTCGCTTCTGGCTAGAATTTGCGGTGGAACTGTGCGAGCGGCCGACCGAGTTGCTGCAGAGACAAAATTGAGTGAGAAGCGGGATGTCATGATGTCTTGAGCGTTGCAGCCACGCTGTGCTATGTTCACCGTCTTGCTTGCTGCCGGAAGTCTGCCGTTTCAGGTAGGGTGGTGGACGGAGGGTTTGCTAGTCAGTTCCTCCTACCACAGCTAGTCATAGGACCAGCAGAGGTCTTCGTTCCGTCCCTGCCTGTTTACCGAACCTACATATTTCGACCGCGCGGTGAGATACCCATGCATCGCGTCGGTCGCCTCGGCTTGCTGCTCACTGGGCTTGTTGCAGCGAGCGTTTCAGAGCCTTCCGCTCCTTAGCCACATCGGAGAAGGGCACCGGTCTGGCAGAGAAGGGCTGCTGGCCTTCCTCTAAGGCGCCACGCGAGGAATGCTTGGACGACCAGAGTGAGGCTCAGGCGGCTGGGGCTCGGTTTCCCTGAAGCTCTTGACAAAACCTGTCTCGAATCCTAATTAGGCAATGCGATCAGTCGACAAAGATTTGAGACTCTGTGCTGCAGAAGCCCGGGAGGTGGAGCTGATCCAAACCTCCTCCCTTCTGGAACGCCGATCCGAGTCCAAGGCCTTCCGCGGAGTTCGAGAGCTTGATGCTGGTATCGTGCTGCAATCATGGCATTTATTCCTGGTCTTTACCAGTGTAAAGCAAGTCTCAACAAGCTTTGCGAGCCGAACCATTGCAATGGCTTATATTGGCGTTGCCCGCGTCCCTTGGGCTTGGGTCCTCCTAATGGGCTCAGAATCTGGGATACCCAGCGGTCTTCTCACGCAGAGCTTGACATGCGTTAGGTTGAGTCATATCTGAGTTTTAGCATTCAACAGCCTGTCACCGTGAAGTGAAACGTCTTGACTATCTTCCCTTGGAGAGCATCCGCTCCGGTCTGGCGTTCAGGATGTCCGGGCTCCTGAGGATGTGCAAGGGCCTTGGTTTTCAAACAGCTGGCCACATGGGGTGCTGAGTGTATCTGAAGGTCCGAGGATTATGCGGACCCTGCCGAATCGCTCTCTGCATCGTCCTTCGTGGCCGTCGCATCCGAGGAGGCATGAGCATCCAGACATGTCGATAGGACGATGCTGCCGAGACTAGTTAGTAGACTCGGATTTCCAAGCTTTCTGGTTCTCTCGGAACCAGCTGAAACCAATAGAACCAGCAGTGCGTGTCAGATTGGAGTGTGCTTGTTGTTGCAGTAGTCACGCCGGCAGAGCGACTAACCGAGCAACCTGATTCCATCGGGCCCAGCATGGCCAGGCCAGACGTTCGCTAATAGGGGAGCTTCTGAGCCGAGACGTGGAGGCAGGAAAGGGATGACCATACGTCAGAGCCTCTGTGTAGATGGCGATTCACCTTCCTGAGCCCGCTTGTACCTTCATCATTACTGCACAGTGCGGCTATCGAAGTATCGGTCGATTGTATATTGCTTCCTCCACATCGTTGTTACGTCATATTACTTCTTTTTTCGTGGTTGTGTGATATCTGAGTGCGTGAGGTATTTGAGGTGTTACTGGTGTAACACCATGGCATTGCCGTAAATGTGACGTCTCAGCTTTCGTATCAATCGGTCTTGTTTGTTAATGGTGTGTTCCTATCTACTCGGGTTACTGCGACATTATCTTAGATGTCAGTGTAGTCTGCATATAGTCTGTCTATTGCCGTAAGCATTTTGTGTCTGGGTCTGCAGCCTGCGCAACTACAGTATTTCTTCTTTCGTTCTGGTATCTGTAAATACACGTCCTTGGCCGGATAGCTAGATGGATGAAAGATGACTGATAGATAGCTATATTAATATTAATATTGTTATACGCACGCACGCACGCACGCACG